CAGTAGGTTCACATAAAAAACATCTGCTTTAAATTACAAGGAACCTAGTGCATTGGAAGTTGCCTTTAGAGTGAAAGGTAAAAATGGATACAATGCTTTCTTACCTTAAGTCACAAGACCAAAATAGTCCCTTCCCAGAAGCAACTCCACAACACAGGTTTGCTTACTTTTAAAAGACTCTTTTCTGATCATGCCTTTCTGGCCTGGCCCTTTAGAATTTGGCAGACACAAGTAACTGCAACCCTAAAGTAGCCATTTTGTAATGGGCTGCTGACTACATTTCATTTTCTCTTTTCCTGCTCGTAAGGATCTGCGATGTTTCCCTTCATTACTTATTGCTAAGGAAATGGCATACTATCTCACACATACTCTGAGAACAGCTATTTACCATGGAAAATGGTTCTTCTAGAAGTTTTGTCTGTATGTATCCTCAGAACCTGCCCTTCATTATTTCCAAGTCTTAGAATAATCAGATTTTTGAAACAAAGGAACCAGAGAGCAGTTGGAGCTGTACCTCATTACATATCTTCAGATAAGTTGTCATAAGGACCATGAACATGCCACTCCAATGAACACCACAATCCAGAAATTTCTGAACTCACACAAAAAATAACTACTAGCATGCACGCAGACAAATACTCAAAGGAAAACCCATTATCTGTGCTAAAGAATTTCATGTGGCAGGTAATCTCATATGATAAATTTCATGTAGACTAGTTTAGTTTGCAGAAGTCAGAGGGGTTGTGGTGTTAAAGTCAGGCTTACAAATTAAAGCTAGTTACTATATTACCACAGGAAATACCATCTCTATAATAGATGCAATCTGTAGAAAATAAATCTTCAGCAGCTGTACACTCCCTATAACTCCTCTAGATCAAGTGTCAAAACAATGACCACATTTTACAACAAAAATTTAAAATAACCATAGGATTATCCATATTCCATGGCTCTGTAAATTAAATTAATCTAAATCAAGAAGGTAGAACAGATTTATGTATTCCAAATTTATATATTCTGGGGAAGCTGCAACAGCTTTCCACTTGTGGCCCTGAGTACAACAGATGGCTTTGCTGCTGCCATACCATCTGTGACCACCACTAACCGGTCCATTCATTGGTACAATAAAAATTATTTAAAAACCTACTGCTTTCCAGTACTTTGATACATGACCTTCTCACACAAAGAGACAGAGAAACTGACACAACCACTATAATAGAGTGAAACTTGCTGAAGATCTGAAAACTCGCCTGGAGTTGGAAAGTCACCTTTCCAGAAAGTAAACCAGCTTCAAACCTTGACTTCCAATTCTGGATGCATATCACTCAGTTTTGAAAGCAACTTCAGAATCTGGTGACAAGGGAAATGTGAAGGTAAAAAGTGAATTTTCTTGTCATATAATGTTTTGCCAGGTGCCCATTAAGGTATCCAAAACTTTGTGAACTGAGGACTTAAGTTTGCCTGACCCCGAATTCTATTTCAGATTTCCCCATCCTGGAAATGTGACATACATTTGTTCTTAGATGTATATGTTCCCATTTAGCTATCTTAAAATGAATATTGTTTGCCTGCGCAGCGCTTACCAAGGGATCCAAATTACTTTGTACCGGTGACATGTCCTCTTCATTATGGACCAATCTTCCCAACCCCATGTACTGTGATCAGTTAGACCCTGAGCCTGTCCCTGCCCCAAAGAGGTTACAGTCTAAATATACCCATACTTATGCATCTCACCCCCCCAGGGTGCACAGTGTCAATGACCTGTTTTGCACAAGTGTAACTCCATTAAGTTAATAGAGTTTTCTCCCAAAATCAGGAATAAGTGTGGTGTTTTAGTGAAGGCAAAGGACTAGGATTCAGGAGATCAGGGTGCTACTCTGAACTCCGACATATACCTTGTGTGTGACCTTAGGAAGAAGTTGCTTTGCTTCTTGTGCTTCAGTTCCTCATTTGAAAATGACAATAGTACTTCTCTATCTCACAAGTATACTGTGAGAACAAATAGGTCAACGTTTATTAAATGCCACAGAAGCGCCTAAACAGTTTTCAGTCCCATATCCTTATCACCTGATCCAGCATTTACTGATAATTATAGCAAGTCTTTAAATCCTAATAAATATAACTTGGCTAGATATGGAGAGGCTCCCATTTTTCAGAGAAGGTACTGATTAGAGGTTGACTAACTGCATGAGTACAATAAAGTGACCACATCTGAAAGACTTTTTTTTTTTTTTTTTTTTTTGAGGTTTGTCCTTTCACACCAGCTATCCCATAAACGTGAAAACATCTTTTTTGTGGTAGACTGGTTCCTGAATTAAGACAGTACCCAAAAAGTGTGCTAGGTACCTCACAACAAACAAGACACACTCCTTGTCACAAAGATATTATTATCTAATTGCTTTTTATTTTGAAAGAGAGTGGAGGTGGGCAAAAATTGTGCTGATAATGGAAGGATTGTTTTTAACCTTAACTACAGAAAATACTAGGACCTCTCCATAACGAGATCATTGTAGAAATCCATTACATCCATGCCTTAAATCTGTTATTCAACTGTATCCTATGATTTTAAACTTAAACTATTTAGTACTGTAGGAGTTACTATTAAAAGCAACTAAATATCAAGGCTCTAAAATTGACACACTCAAAATGTTTTCAAACTTCTAGTGAAATTTTTTTGTAATAATTTACAAACAAACCTGGACTTTGAATGAAAAGCTATTTTTAAAGTTAAGAAATTTTGACATTAAAGAATCATAGCATGCTCTCCAAACACCCCTCCTCAAACAGATGAAGAGGATAACATATACTGACTTTTAACACTGAAATAGAATAATTAAGGACTGCTAAATGATAAAATTAAAAGCTTTGTTAGTTATATTTTAATGATTTTTAGTTACACATAGTGAATGAGTATAGATGAGCTAACACTTTAGGCCAAGGCCTTGTCGGCAAAAGCATGGTTTTGCCAATTCTTCTTTTACACAGAATTGCTGATCTGCTTAAAATGATGTGACATTAGGTAACAAAGGTAACATATTGTGCTGGAAGTTATGAGGTAAAAAAATCACACATCTGTAACAAAAAAAAAAAAAACTTTCTGGGAAGACCCAGGCCAGGATGACATAAAATGATATGAACCAGGAACGGCACACCCAGCAAGGAAAGTACATTTGTTGGGTAACTCAAGCCTGCACATGCAACATACAGTCACCTAAAACCCAAAGAATTAATGTATTAAAAGCCAATTTGATAACAAGTAATCTGTTATGGAGAAATGCAGAGAAAACTTAAATGGGCTCAACCTGGAGAAACACTGACCAGAAACTGACAGATGGGACTGAAGGACCAGATCAAGCGATCAGAGAACATGACAACTATCACAGAAGGTGGTAGGACTTCCCAGTGTCCTGGAATGTGGTAACTTTTTCCCAACTTCTATCCCAAAAGGTTACAGCAGGACAAACCCCATCTACCTAAAACCTTAAGAATATGGAAATAAGTTATGGGAGAAAGGAATGTATATGTTTTCCGCCTTCGTATTGCCTATAGCACTGTTGATAACACACTCCAACTTCATAAGGTTTTCACTTCCATCTCCAATAGATACCCCAATTTCAAACTTGCACTCTAACACAAGAATAAATAAATAAATAAATCTTACTAGTGACCTCATATGCTTTTATAGCAATTTCAAAAGAGCAGCTCATCTGACTCTCACATTCCATGCATTTGGGAAACTACTTTGCCATCTTCTTTGGGAATGTTAAGCATAAATCTTGTTTTAACTGTGTGAATCACATCCTCCCTTTGGCCTTCATATCTCTAGCCTAGGTCTACACTATATGAGCTACAGAAGTAATTGTTAGTCCCTTTGAAGACCAGCCACTCAACATACTTGGTGATCAGCATGGTTGGATTTTAACCTTGGCTCGGGGGGGAGGGGGAGGGGGAGTTTGGTTTATAGTAGTTAGAGACAGGATGGGGTGAGATAGCTCAGTGGTTTGAGCATTGGCCTGCTAAATTTAGGTTTGTGAGTTCAATCCTTGAGGGGGCCATTTAGGGATCTGGGGCAAATATTGGGGATTTGGTCCTGCTTTGAGGAGGGGGTTGGATTAGATGACCTCCTGAGGTCCCCTCCAACCCTGATATTCTATGGTGCTAAGAGAGTAGTTTAATCACTCTGGAAGGCAGTGTGGTGCAATGGATGAGACAGGACTGTCATGTTAGAGACTTGGGTTCTGTGCCTGCAATGACCTTGGATAATTTTTCTGCTAATTTATTTCAAAATCTAAGTCTTCAGCAGCTGTCCCATAACTGTCTTCTAGGTTGAGGTTCATGACTGTAGTCAACAAGGAGAATGGCACTAGAATTTAAACTGCACTTAGGAGTTAAGATTTGAACTCCTGGTCTCCTGTTTCCCAACTGAAGACTACAGGGCTATAGGACAAGATCTATTTCGCCTCATGTATTTTATCCTTCAAAGAAAAGTGAGACTACTAGGGGGGAGTGGAGGCATGAAGGGAGGTGTTTCCAAAGGTAGTGATTTTTAAGTTATTATTCTCTCAATGTCAATTCATTTTTCATCGAACCACCAAGAAAAGTACTGCTCCAAGTCCATACTCTGTGTTTTGGTTTTTGCCACTTCAATAATTTTTTCTACAAAATAAAGCTTTAAAGTTTCTTAGAACTAAACTCTGAAACACAACCTTAACTATATTATAATTATCTCACACACAAATTGTTCAGCTCTAGGTTTTTTGGGTAGGGAAGTTGTCTGTCCATCGGTTTTTTTACACAGATAATGAAGGTCAGTCTTGTATGGCTCTGGACCAAAGGAATGTTTACTATTATATGTTCATGTCTTTACCATCTATTTAATATTCCTACATACAGTACCTCCTCTGATAAGTACTTAGGTAGACTATTTCAAATTTCTCCAAGGGTAATTTAAAGCTTCAATACAAAGAATACTATCTGAATTATTGGAAGTATTGCATACTTACGCTGGTGACACTGATTGCATTTCTGTCATAGTACTTCTTCTTTTCATATTTATCCCTGATGAAAAATTCTACAGCTCTGAAAACAGGCAGTTAAGGAAAACACAGTGAGAGGAAGAAAATTAATCTAAAATCTGGTTAATTAAGAATATTCAAACTAAAAGAATGACATTAGATTCTAATTCTCCAACATTTCATTTTTGCAATTTTATTTTAAGGTGAGAGAACAAAACCTGAACGGCTTTGGTTATTAATGAACATGGTCAACTACTTTCAATGAACTTATCAATAGTAAAAATTCAGTCACAGCTACTTACTGCTTAGATTTCATATATACTTCTCTTAACAGCTTCATTTTCTTACTTTGAAATCAATGACATGAAAAATGGATATACAAAATAGATGTGATTCAGTGTCCTGCCACCAAAACATTTTCACTCCATATTTATATTATGCAATAGGTTGTGAGCACCCACAAAGACTAACACCACCACACAATCCTGCAATAAGAATCACAGAATCATAGAAATAGAAGGCTGGAAGGGGCCTTGAAAAGTCATCAAGACCAGACCATGCTCTGAGGCAAGAGGACCAAATAAACCTCAGCCACCCCTGTCAGATATTTGTCCAAGCTGTTCTTTAAAAGTTCCAATGAGGAGAACTGCACAACCTCCCTTGGAAGCTGCGGCAATTCTCAGGGCTCCCAGGACTGAGAGTCATCTTGTTACCCCCTGCCTCCCGCAAGAGGGAGTCTTTCTTGTGGTAGTTGGGTGTCAGCTCCTTAATACCATCAGTCTTCAGCCACTCAAACACTCTCCTCTGGGCTATGCCAGCCCCAACTTCACCTGGCAGGTTAACCATCGGGGCATCCCAAACCCCAAGTTATTTTGAATCGTTCCCCTAAGATATATCCAGCCCCTGACACCGGCTACTCACAGAAATTCCAGATCCTCTGCTACAGCTCACGAAAGCTTATGCTCAAATAAATTGGTTAGTCTCTAAGGTGCCACAAGTACTCCTTTTCTTTCTGCACCCAAAGGTGCAGTGTACTCCAGTTGGCCAGTTTAATCTTAAACCAACACACATGTAAACAACAAAGCACTTGTGAGCACTTACAATAAATTTAAAGGCTTATTTAAGAAAGAGTGAAGATTTAATTAGGGGTGTAAGGTGGTGATGGAAACAACTGGTTACAACAAAAAACAAAATGAAACCTGGGTCTACACTTATCAATAGTTACCTTTCCTATATAATAAAACAGGCTTTCTCCACCAAGTTCACGCTGTTGCAGAGCTGACTGGTTTCACAAGTACCAGGATCCAAATGTTTATCCAAGTTCTCCACTTCCTAAGGGGTCAAAGAATGGATAGAGTGCTTCTCCCTTCTGTTTTATACTGAAAACAGCCTTTTGTTTCTGTTCATAGATTGGGAAAACAGCAAAGAAAGTTTCTTTTTCAGCCCCACATGGTTTTGATTGTTTCCAGTTGTCTGTTTTCCATCAAGTCTTCGGAGGTAGAAAGGCTTGACAGTTGAGCCTTGCATCAACAGTTAAATAGGGTAGGGTGACAACTTTCCTTACCCAAATGGGCCATCACTGAGAAACATTATCTCATGGTGAGTAATTTCTACTCCAAGTCCATCAAGCATATTTTCCATAAAATTATATTCCTTAAATATTACCCATATATACATCTTGCAATTATTATAAATCTTGACAAGTTACAAGCTTTGTATAGCTATCTTACATGTTACTCTTTATGAATAAATATCCCATCAGATAAGTATTTGGCGTAGTGAGTTTGACAAGTCTGAGGTGAAAATTGTTTGCAAAGAACAAGGGACCCTTTGCCAATGGATCTCTATCACGGAAGCCTATTCCAGAGCTTAGCTATCCTTAAGACTAGAAAGTTTTTTCCTAATATCTAACCTAAATCTCCATTGCTGAAGATTAAGCCCATTACTTTTTGTCCTACCTTCAGTGGACATTCAGAAAAATTTATCACAGTCCTCTTTATAAAAGCCCTTAACATATTTGAGGACTTACCAGGTTTTGCCTTAGTCTCCTTTACTCAAAACTAAGAAACTGGGCATGTTTTAAACTTTCTTGAAAAAGGTCAGATTTCCTAAACCTTTTACCATTTCTGTTGCTCTCCTTTGGTGTCTCTCCAATTTGTTCACATCTTTACTGAAGTGTGACACCCAGAATTGGACACAGTACTCCAACTGAGGCCTCACCAGAACCAAGTAGAGCAGGACAACTACATCCACGTCTTTCACAGGACACTCCTATTAATACATCCCACAATATTAGCTTTTTTCACAACTGCATCACATTGACTCATACTCAATTTGTGACCCACTATAACCTGCCGATCCATTTCTACAATACTACCATCTAGCCAGTTATTCCTCATTTTGTAGATGAATGACGAGTTTAATAAATAATGAATACTAAATGAATACTTTAATAAATTTTCTCTGGTTGATTTCAGACCAATTCTCCAATTTGTCAAGGTCTTTTTGAATTTTCATCCTGTCCTCCATAGCGCCTGCAATCTTCCCAGTTTGGTGTCAATCCACAAATTTTATACGCATATTCTCCACTCCATTATCCAAGTCATTAATGAAAATACTGACTTCTACCAGACTCAGGACAGACTCTGTGGGACCCCACTAGATACATCCTTCCAGTTTGACAGCAAACCATTCATAACTACTCTGAGTATGGTCTCTCAACCAGTTGTGCACCCACCTTACTGTAATTTCATCTAAACAATATTATTTTCCTACTTTGTTATTAGAATGTCGTATGGGAATGTGAGAAAAATCTTACGACAATCAAGATATACTGCTTCTCCCCATTCATTAAGTCAGTAACCCTCTCACAGAAAGAAATTATGTTGGTGTGGCATAATTTGTTTTATGCTGGCTATTTCTTATAACTCTAGTACCCTCGAGGAGCTTACAAACTGACTGTTTAATAATTTGTTTATCTTTCCAGGAATCTAAGTTAGGCTGACTGGTCTATAATTTCCCAGGTCGTCTGTTTTCTCTCTTTTTTTTTTTTTTAAAAAAGATAGGTACTACATTCACTCTTCTCCTGTCCTCTGAGATCTCACCAGTCCCCCATGAGCTCTCAAAGATAATTGCTAACAGTTCCAAGATTACCAAAGCTAGCTTTAGTATCCTAAAATGAATTTCTTCAGGCCCTTCTGACTTGAATACATCTAACTTACCTAAATATTCTTTAACATGTTTTCCCTATTTTGACTTGTGTTCTCTCCCCCTTGTTGTTATTAATAGTATTGAGTATCTATCTGATCACCCTTCACTAAAAAAAGTTAAGACTGATGAAAAATAGGCATTGTGCCCTTCAGCCTTCTGGGTGTCATCAGTTATTAGCTCTTCTCTGCTAAGTAGAAGACCCACACATTCCTTCACTTTTCTCTTGCTCCTATTGTATTTAAAGAACCTTTTCTAATGGCCTTTTATGTCCCTTAATAACTATGTAATTTTGTCCCTACATGCTTGTTCTATTCTTTTGTATGCCTTCTTACCAATTTGCCCATGTTTTCACTTTTTGTATGGTTCTTTTTTTGATTTTCAGGTCTTTAAAAAACTCTTGATAGAGCTATATTGTTCCCTTACTATTCTTCCTATTTTACCTTCCCATCAGGATAGTGGTAGTTGTGTCTTTAATCCTGCCTCCTTTAGAAACTGCCAGCTCCCTGCACTCCTTTTCATTTAGATTTTCTTCCCAGGGACCCTTACCTGCCAGTTCTCTGAGTTTGTTACTGGCTGCTTTTTTTTTTTTTTATTTATTTAAATTGTCCTTACTCATAGAACCATGAAATTTATCATTTCCTGATCACTTTCACTCAAATTGCCTTTCGCCTTCAGATTCACAGCCATTTCCTCCGTTAGTCAGAATCAAGTCTAAAATGGCTGTCCCCCTAGTTACATCCTGCACTTACTGAAACAAAAAGTTGTCCCCAGCACATTCCAAGAACTTATTGGAAAAGTAATACCGCAAAATATAAATTTCCAACAGATGAAAGTTCAAATCTCCCACTACTACCAGGTTCTTGTGTTTTGGATATTTGTTTGGTCGGTCCGTCTGTCCCTCCCTCCCCTGCCTCCCATCCCCCCAAAATGCCACATCCACCTCCTCTTCCTAATTTGGTGGCCTATAGTGAACCACTACCATGATGTTGTCTCTATTTTCCCCCCTTTTAAGCTTTACCCAGAGTATTCTTTGTTTAAAAAAATGGGGGGAGAGGGGCAGAGAAAGTAATGTGCCTCATTTTTTCTCTAGGGAACGACAACTGATGTTGATGTTTTTAGAGATTTCTTGCCATGCATTAAAATTTGATCACAGGAAAAAAAATTCATGCTTGAACTATGTAAATATTAAAGCAAAATTTACCTGGCAGAAAAATACAATAAAATTCAGACAATGAAGAGATTAAAAAAAAACTTTGAAAAATAGAAAAAAGTTTACATACTGAACTGGAAATCCTAAAATACCACACCAGCAAGAAATACACAAAATTGGTTCTACAATACTTTAAAGTTACAATTTTACAATTTGGCAACATGGTTACTGTTTATTCACTATTAAGTACAGTTCTATTCTGAAAAGGGACACTGTAAAATGGCAATGTGGGGTTCCATATTCACTGTGTCTTATTGACTTCCATATCAATTTTGTTCAGTTAGAGAAAAATCCTTTTATTTACAAACTTCTAGCTCTGAAAACTCAGCCTGGGATCTGAGAATCAAGCTTGTTTCTTTCCATGTCATTATAAATCAGGTCATCAGCTACACAGCAATATGAGATTATACATTAAACGGGTTTATGCAGGTGTCACTGAAGGCATAAACTGAAGATAATGGATTTGTGTGCTTGTGCGCTGCACACTTACTTTTTTACCTAAACCACAAAACTCATCTTGCTACCAGAAATGAATTGCAAGTGTTGGCTGCCAGATGGAATAAATCTTAATGACTTTGTTCATGATGTAACTGACAGCAAAACCTAAATTTTCCTTTTTGGGAGAGTAGGGGGAAAGAAAAAAA